TTCTCAAGTCCTTCCTAACAGCTCCAGCACTGTGTGGTGGTAACATTGCTCTCCAAAGCAGAGCTGGAGTCACTTCCCTAAACTGGAAGCCTCCACGTGGCTGGTCTCAACTTCAAATCAGTGCTATGAGTCGAACGTTAAATTTATTAAATTTAAGATGATTTCTCTTTATCACTTAAGTTGAATTAATTAACATCACTACTTTGGGCCACAATCATCTGCCTTATAAAAGCATATACAGCGCCTTTCTCAAAATCAGTTACCCTCAACTGAGGCATCAGGACATTGGGGCAGGACAGTATGGCCCACCATCGTTTTGAGGAGAGAGAGAGAAGAAATTTGCCACCAATGGTCATTAAAGGATAGAAGTTAGTGAATGACTCACTTACAAAAAAAAAAAAAAAAAAATCATTTTAGTGCCCTTTCAACATCATAGAAGCATCACTCCTCCAACAGGATTTCCAGTGTGATTTATGGCATGTGAGAGGAAGGGGGCAGCTAGTTCATCTTGAAATCATATGTCCATGATCTGTGCCCATGACTGACATTCCATTAAGAGTCCGAGTGAGAGAAGAGGGGGGGAGAGACTGGGAGGAAGAAAGAAAGAGAAAAAGGAAAGTCACCATCTGGGAAGACCTCTGATTGTGTGGCCTCCTGTGCAGGCCTCTGTTGTGCAGATGACACCAGAAAACAACCGGGAGGAAAGGGAGAGCCTCAGCAGCTCCTCTAATCGCTGCGTCCATGTAGGGGAACAAGAATCTTCTTTGAAGATTCTAACAAGGGCACAAAGCAAGGTGAGCTCTGCGGTACTTAATGAAATTGGTTACAGCTTTGAGGCAAGATGGGGTGGTGGTGGCTCTGAACAGAGTCCACAAACCCCTAGTTCTACTGGAAGAGGTGCATTGCCTAAGTTGCTCATCTTAACCAGACAGCGACCCAGAGCTGCCCCCTAAGCAGGAAAGAGAAGTGCATGTTGCATTCATGCAGGTTGCGAATGCTGTGCTGGGTTTATCACAGCCTGCTTGAGGCTGTGACCCATCAACCAGGGAGGGTCAGAGGTGGTAGTTAACTAACCATTTCACAAATCACAGCCAGAGTCTGGCACCTTCGGGGAGCTGTGAAATGGACGAAAGATGCGTGCCATCTCTAACTTATGGCCCGGCATTCTTTTGCATTCGCTTTCAAAGAAAAGTCCATTTCGATAACAAGCCAGAGTTGAAGGGAACCCCACCACCACCACCACCACCATCACCACTTATGGGCATTTCCACGGTGCAAATGAAAACTTCTGATAAAGCTCACAGCCTTGAGGGAAATTTCAAGTGGCTTACTGCCTTAGCTTTCTCTTATTTCGCCACTCATTATCAGGCAGAACTGAAGGACAGAGTCTGCCTTTTGCTCTGCAGGCTAAGTTCTCTTCTTGCCCAAGACCATAGCTGGTGGCTTGAGTATCTCGCGACTCACTTATCCGTGTAGCCCTCTCTTCAACGGACTCAAGATCTGTGAGGCACATTCAGTGGAAGAAGACTGTACATCAGCTGATCGAATGTGTGGGTGTGCACACATTAGGCAAAGAGAAAAGTTACTTTCTGCATGCAATGAGCCAAATTACCCCAATTCCTTTGCAAAAGAGCTTTTCCCCCCTTCTTCTTCTTTCTTTCTTTCCATAGCTTGAATAATATTTAGCTAAGCTTTCAGGTCTTTGGTTTTTCGGTAGGATCCAACAGGTGTGGGGAAGGACCATCTGCCCACGGCCAGGGCATCACTCATTAGGACTCTGCTTCTCCTGATAAACATCTGTCTTACGGCTGAGGGTGCCTTGTCACTAGCCCAGATTTCAGAGTGGGGCCTCATAAAGCTGGCAACGTTAAGACCAAAATAATGTCATTTAGTGTCTAGGGGGAGGTTAAAAAGAGGATTAGAGGAAAGCAGGCAGGCAGGGTATATTAAACGAGTCCATGACTAACAGGGTGTGACAGAAAAGGGTTTTATTCTTTTCAACAAAACAATTCCCTAGGGCTGGGACCATTACTCCACTGTGCCTTTATCACCTTGGAATTTTTATGGTTATTTTTGATGAATTCACATTTTTGTAAAGGCTTTTTTGAAATGATGCCAGTTTTCAATTTTTAATTAAAGTCGTAAATAATCTTAATTCTGCCTTAAAAGGTTTATTGTTTCTTACTTCTTCTTCTTCTTCTTTTTTTTTTTATTATTGCTGCCAGGAAATATTTCAAATACCAAGCACTGATGTGAGTTAGCAATTAGAATCTCTCCAAGGTCTAGTAACAACATTGTACCATGTAAATATTACATGCCAGTACACCAGCACAAGGTCTGAAAATGTGGATTTCCTGATTTTAGGTTTATTCGCACAGCTTCTCTGGGGAGTGGCATTTCTTCTTTTTATTGGATGGACCAACTTTCATTGTTTTAATTTCCACAGATTAATTTATCCCTGATTCATAACAGATTTTTAAAATCTTCAGATTTAAAAGACCGGTTAAAATTTGGAGAGCAAACCTGGTAAACTTGTCCCTAAGGTATGGGCGATAAAAGGCAGCCACATCCAGCTCACCCATTTGTAAGAAACAGGGTGCACATCAAAAGCAAAATCACTGCAGACACAGTACCTCATTTTCTGGAAGACAAAATTAAGAGAATACTGCAATATTTGATATGAGGTTATAATACTGCTCCGGGAAAGTATATCCTTGTTACCTAGACTGTTGAAGACTGTCTGCAAATTGTCTTTAAATTTCTATTTTGTAGTCTCGGGGTCTGATTTTCTTTTTTTTAATTAGTGCTTCAAGAATTTTTCACACAATCAAAACTATTCCTCCTTTATATAGAGGCTGAGACACACCGCGTTTGAACAATGGAAACCAATTAACTAATAATTCCTGAAAATATCTCATTGTTTCCATACTTATTGTCAACCCAGGTTACCTTTTTTTTTTTTTTAAAGATTTTTATTTATTTATTTGAGAGAGACAGAGGTCGCGACAGACAGCATGAGCGGGGAGGAGAGGGAGAAGCAGGCCTCCTGCTGAGCAGGGAGCCTGATGTGGGGCTCGATCCCACAACCCTGGGATCATGACCTGAGCCGAAGGCAGACGCTTAACGGACTGAGCCACCTAGGCGCCCCCCAGGTTACCTTCTTATGTGGAATATCGAACTGTTGCTTATTTGCCGGCATGTGGGACCTGCATTCTCTCCTGTCCAAGGCAGGTGTTTTTCTCAGTGAAGGTGCTCTCCAATCTGATAATGGATTTGCTATCACGGTAAAACTTCATACATTTCAGACAACTTAGGGGATGAATGGTCAGATTTAGGAGAAAAAACCCTCAAGAGTTTTGATTCTGTTTTGTGTTGTTTTTGTTTTTTAAACAAAGATAACTTATCACATCAAGTTCATAAGATACACACACAGATACGGACAAAAGCCATTAGGTGGTGGTCCTGCCGACATAGCGAACAGGATGCAACCCTGGTGTTATTTTAAAAAGATTAAGTATCCTTCTTAAAATTTTATTTATATTATTAATTCACTTAGTTCCTTTGCTCTTCTTCAATATAGGAATATATTTAGTCCATGTTGACTGATCATCTGTTATCATCTGTTGATAATGATCATCTGGTATCAGTTTACTGTATTCCAATAAAAGAGACTTAATTGTATTTATAGAGGAAAAAATGATTTTAACAGTTGACTTACAAGAGTGGGTTTGTATGCAATTAAGATTATCCATCAAATCCTTCCGACTAGGCATTTTTCTCATTCACAGGGAAGAGGTCAAATTCTTTCCGTATATGAGCCCTCAACTGGCATTGTGCTAACACCTCTCAAGGAAGAAAAAGCTCAAGTAAAAAAAAAAAAAAAAAAAAAAAAAAAAAGACTACACAGCATTTCCCAACATAAAAGTGTTAAATCCCCATAAACCATGAAAGAATGCACGATTCTAGTTCAGTAGAAGTGCTGGTGACCTGAAAACCATGGCCATGGGGTTCAATCACAACATGGGCTTAAATCACTTGACATAGTTGAATCTTAAATTTCCCTTACTTTTGTTACGAAGGGCTCTTACATGAATCGGTACCATCTCGACACAAAGGGAGCACTCAAAAACCTAAGGTCGGCTCAGTGTGTTTGTGTTTTTCTTCCATGGTCAGAAGGTACTTGTTGGTCCAAAAACTTACAAACTCAGTTATTGGGAAATGCCTTGAAAGCTTATTAGCTCATAAATAAATAAAAATCTTTAAATAAATAAAATTTAACAAAATGCAGATTAGCTCCTCAGCTCTCAAGGTGGGAGGCACAACGTGGCCAACCACCTGCTGGAGATTTTAGGAGGTCGAGAGAGAGAGTCAGGTGGGTTGGCTGGTTGATTTTTAACATTTCTTCCAAATCCAAGACACTATGCATTCTATGTACTTTGAAAGATGCATTAATTCCTCAGTGATGTCAAAGTAATCTTAGGTTCAATTCCTTTCTCAAATTTCCATACACAGTACCTATTAAGAAATGTGTTTTTTTTTTTTTCCTAAGCTTAAAGGGAGGGATGCTCTATACTTATCCTAGAGGTACACCTACCTTCTCCATCAGAACTAAAATGGTTTTAGCCAATTGATATTTTATGAAAAAGCACTTATCTCCGGAAAGGGTTTTTGTTGTGCTGTTTTTCCCAATTCAATTTTCTTTAGCTATGTGGACGTAATTTCCATAAAAGCCTTGTGTCACTCTCCAGTTTAGGTGACTTTCGCTAATTTTCTCTGATTCTTATTATACAAGTCCTCCCCAGAAATTCATATCTGGTTATGGCAGCTATGCAAACCATTGCATTGCTATTACTTCGCGGGAGATGCCTCTCTCCTCAAAGCGTCTAATGCAGGTAACAACTTGAGAAGTAGAAGAATTCCAATGCCCCGCACAAGGTCCCAATACTGCAAGAGTAACTTAAATATGTTTTTCCTGGCTGGATAAATTCTTTTAAAATTACCTTTTTCCTTGCTTGTTGATCTTTGGAAGAATGTGCCTTCACATGCTTTCGTAGGGAACTTGGGTCTGTGTAGCGTTTGGTGCATCCTGGAATTTGACAAGCATAAGGTTTCTAAATAAGAAAGAAAAAGAGAAACCAATTGTAGTTAAATCATAAAGGTAACTGGGGAAGATTTACTCAGACTACGGACTTCAGAGCATGAACTGTTACCAACTGATTGAGGTGAAATGCTGTTTAACACTTGTGCATTTTAATTAGAAAGCCCAGTAAGTATGCATCAAGGCCAAGAGGAGGGCAAACTTTCAAGAAACAAGGAGACATCTTTAAGGGTGCACTCTCCCCACAAAACTCTTGTAGCATTTTTGGATGTGGAAATTATTAGTAAGCATCTCTAGTCATACTTACAGTTATGTTCCCCTGAAAACAATCTTTGGCACTGTCAGAAACTAGGCAACACACATTCTTTAAGAGTTCAGGTATAAAGAAGCTGCAGAAAAGTCCAGAAAAGACTGGGAATGTTTCAGAGGAAACCTGATTCAGAAAGAGAGAAGGAGAGATTTAAAAGGGAATATTAGTGGAAAGTGAGTGAGAGACAGTAGGTTTTTCAAACACCAGGCACATGAAAACTCAGCCAGAGGAACGTTAATAATATTATAGGGGTTACAGGTTTAGAGGAGTCCTGATACTCAGCCTGGGTTATATGTCTAAGCCCTTGGCTGGGGGCACGGAAAACATCAGTTTGGGCTACTTCAATTTCCCCATGCTCCTGACAGATGTGAGGTGTGGAGCCTCAGGCTGAGTCTAGAATCTTTTTAATTTATGCGTCCCTGGTGATTGGTCTATGATAATTAGGAATGAATGAATGGGAGCACTCCCCATCAATTTAAACTGGAGCACCTATTCCTACAGTAATAACAAAATGCAGAGCAAGGGTTTGAGAGTATGGCTTTTAAGCTATGAAATAAATAAAACTTTCTGTTTAATCTAAGAACTACAATAAAAAAATCACAAGATAAACTGTGTTCTTAAGTCACAGCTTCCAGTCATTCTTCTACTTTGGACCTCAGTTGATGAGATTAATTAGAGTTGTGCCTACATGATTTGAAATGTAAGGAGAAGTGAAACCCTGTCTCAAGAACAGGATTCTTGCTCCAGGAACCTGCCATTCCGTTAACAAAACAAACAAAAACAAAAACAGACAAAAAACTCATCAAATTAAAACAAAATAAAAAACCTGAAAAAAATTTCACGTTTCTTTCTCTTTATTTTTTTTTCCTGTTTTCATGTGCAAGCTTGTCATTTTGTGGGCCAACATATACGTGGATTACATTATTTGCCCTGCTGAAAGCCTTATTTATGATTCACTTTTTTGTTTTTACCATTTTTGATTTCAACCACAAGGTGAAGTCATGAATATATAATTTAGTTTGACACACCCAATACGAATTCTAAGTGTGATGTGTCTGTTCCTTGACTGACTGACTGACTGACTGAATCACCCAAAAGGTCTCACGGTTTTGTGGGGTGCTGGGCACTGCGTTACACATAAGAAATCTGACCACAAACAGTGGATGAACCAGGCTCTCAATAACTCAGTTTTTGCAAATGGTCGGCCAGTATGGGTGGAAGCCCCTCGCCCCTGAGTTTCCACTGGGTAAACAAAGGTTTTCTTCCACCCGGGACTCTTCCCTGGGTTCATAGGCTTTCTTGCACTGGTCTTCCGTATCCTGCCCTGGCTTTAGGGGAGCAACTCGATAATATCTTTATCAGCAGTCATGCTGTGACCACATAAACTCCCATTCTGAGCCCTCGAGGAGATGTGGCATGTAAAAAAACCTTCAGGAATATTAACATGTTATATAAATCAATACCATTACTATTACTATGGTTGCTACTATTTGGGCTGGAAAGACAAGAACTGAGTAATGTGATTTTGTATTTGATTTTGAGATGCTCTCCGAGAAGGCTTGAATACTCACCCTTCCTCCCAGCTGGCTTCCCTCTCTCCCCTGCTGTCAGGCCCCTGGGATCAGTATGCCAAAATAGCAATGTCAGGAGCTGGTCCAAGTGCTACTGGGGTACTGGTCTTTTTACTTCAGATTACTGAAACTTTAAATGGCATGCTACACTTTATCAAACTATATTTTCCATGTGTACTGTAAAATCATTCCCCCGTTTAGATATTAAGATGCTAATAGAGAAATCAGTCAATAAAACTTTTCAGGGTTAGAATTATGAACTTGGTAATCCTTGCGGGAAAATCATTTTCCTATAAGTAAAGAATCCATTGAGTTGAAGAAAGATACTTTATCCAAAATTCTGACAGCATTAGCATAAGGAGTGCTTAATGAAAGGAAACGGGGGCCTGAATTTAAATAACACATTCTTCAAGCAGCTACAGTTTGCTTTTTAAAACAAATGTTTAATTTTTACATGATTTTAAAAGAGCTTACCAATTCATTTAATGCAATAAAAATTTAAACAGGAGGGCAGGTTTGCATCTTAAAGGAAGAACGATGGTTTTAAAGGATTTAATAGAGTGGTGCTTAAAAAAAAATAAAAGTAGCTGGGTCTGAAAAGCTACTGCATTGAACTGAATCATGAAATTATTATCTGTGGTAGCCTTCCTCAAAAGTTTTAAAAAGTGATTTTTTTAAAAAAAAATTCCAAAATGATTTTAGAAAATGCTCGTAGTCTGATTAGCTAAAATTAGCTCCAAGTAAAGAAGGGTATTGTAGAGCCATAACACTTAGGCTCACAATAGTTCTTTCAAACTACAGATAACTAGCTAGAGTAGAGGCAATTTCTCAAGACAATCTTGTCTCGTGAATGTTCATTCTTCCATGATAAAGTTTAATGACAAACTGGAAAATTTATTAGATTCTACCAAGACCATTTTAGACATACAAAATAGGGCATTTTAACATAATTTATTCTTTTTTCCTATTTCTACCTTTTAAAAAATCCTGCTATTCAACAAATTTATTCATTTCATATTCTATTCTGTTGGTCCTAAAATCACTGAATTCAGTTCAGCTAGAGCAGAAAGGGGCTATCCTCTGCCCATATTGCTCTAATTATATTTTAGCTATTTACTAGGCAAACCATCATGTTTATGTATATTAGGAGATAAATCTGTTTAGAAAGGTTATGTGACATATAGCTAAAATGACTTCTATCAATATGACTAATAGAGACTAATATAAAATTTAATAAATATGTCAACTATAACATCAGAAGAATCTTAAATATGTATGAGAAGGTGTGTAGAAATAACAGTATCTTTTCAAAATTCAAATTCTGGTGTAGTTTAATAATAGACATCGGAATGTTAACACTGAAAAAGTACTGTCATGAATATATTATTTGCAAGAATGGGGGATAAGAGATCTGTGATGTGTATAATACATTTATCCTGATGGCTTTGTTAAGTGGAGAATAATAGCACACTGTCTACCTGGCCTCGTGGAAGGAAAATGGCATCAAAACTCAAGAAATGCAAAGGAGGACAATCAACATAACAGAAAACAGAAAAGTCTTAGGAAAGGAGCAAAATGTGACCACACTAAGAGAGTTAAGGTGTAATGATGAAAACCCCCTGTTCTTATAGGGGTTATGCCAGTGGATGTGTGGCTATTAACACACGGCGGTGGGGGGGGAAGGCATAATGAAACTGAACCCCAGGGAAAGATCTGCTGGTTCCTTTCAGATGAAAATGCCAGGTGGTTTCTAAAGCAAAAGGCTAGATTCACACTCGGTAACCATGCCAGTCCCAAAGTTCTTATGTCAAAAAAAAAAAAAAAAAAAAAGAACCAGGGTAAGGTGGGGGGCCGGGAAGAAAAACCACTTCCTATTTCTAGCAATAGTATATATATTATCTATTTTCGCATACCTTGCTATTTAAATACTTATTTTTTAATGCCCAGTCCCTGGTAGTTCATTCTCTGTCCTCCAATCTACTATGTGACAGCCCGTGACCCCCTCTGCTTTGTACAGAGGCAATCAAGGAACCCCTCTGTCTCGGGCAGTTGCAATATTTCAGATAACTTGTCACGACAGAAAAATGAGGAAAGAGCCAAACAGGGCCCCTTCTGGACCTTCACCAAGCTTCCACTGCTGCCCTTGGCATTGTCCCTATAACCTGCAGACCATAAAGCAAACCCCTTCACCAGCCCACTATCAAACGGGCACTCCCCCACCCCAGGGCTTGGGGCTGGAAGTTGGAAAGCTCCTGCCCTTCTTACAGTGTCCAGATGTGTCCTCTGGTGCTTGGCGCGGTCGCTGGAGTTACTGAATGCCTTCTGACAGCCCGGATGCTGGCACAGGTACGGCTTTTCACCCGTGTGGCTCCGCAAGTGAATCTTGAGATTCTCAAGCCTGGAAAAGGCCTTCTTGCAACCTTCAAACTGCAAAAATAGAAAACGAGTTTTGGTTGTTGAGAAGGAGCTTGAATGTTTGGGTCTGGGGGACGGGGGAAAAAATGTCCTTAGTGTGTATTTAGCCTAAAACAAAAAAGACAAAACAAAAAAAATAAGATGAAATCCAAACAGTAACAAATATGACTTCTAAAAATACCCACATAATGATGTGAACTGCATTTTTCCACTAATATACATGCCACTTTCCATACCAGATCTGGGTCCCAAACTGATTTCTGTGATTACTTATGTAAGAGAAAATTTGCTGTGAACCATCTGGCTCAGTTAATAAAAATACAGTAATGCGTGTCTTAAAGAGTTATTAAAAATTAACACACTTTTCCATTTCCAAATTGGACTAAACGGAAGGAACCAGGAAGGAAGAAACTTTTTACAACTAATAAACTAAGAAAAAAAAAATCAAAGTGATGTACGAGAATAAAAGTGAGCTTCTGAAGATCCAAGAGTCCAGGATGCAAAAGGCATGTGTCCATGAGGCCGTCACAACCATAAACTTTCTGAACTATCTCAAGGAGTTCCTCAACTCCCCAAAGAGCGACTCTGTTGGCGTACACAGTGATGCCAAACCTAATGAGATAAAAGTTTGTAACGTGCTTTTAAAAAAGGAACTGGAACATAATTCATGTAGTGCTGAGAACGTTTTCCAAATGAAGTGATAGTTTTACCTATTTTTGTCTTTCTAAGAAATGTTACCTCGTTCATGAGGAGAGGAATTGAGAATGAGAGGCTGAAGGTTTCAAGAAAGGCTTTATTGGTTTGTCAATAATATTTATCGATGGGACTATTTACTACATGTCTTCTGTGGGTAAAATATCAGCGACTATATTAGAGGCTCACAGTGATTCCAATCCTGAAAGTGACAATCTAATAAAGAAAATGTGTTACAGAAAGCCTGTAAATGAGGCATAAATGTAAGTTGGGCATTTACCCTGTGACTCTTTTTGATAGTAAGCCCCAGAATACCGATGTCACTTTGACAACTTTCATCCCATATGAGTTCCCACTGCAAAGGAAATTTAGGAATATGGAAACAGTGTTTAAAACAATTAAAAAAAACAAAACAAAACACCTCACTTCTTAGAGAAGAATGTGGGGGGCAGGGGGCAGAACAGAAGTAAAGAAGGTAAATTCAAGATGGTTTCCATTCGAAATTGGTAGTATTATTCAACCTTACTACAAGACATTTTATAAAATCCCTCGGTTCTCTGCTTATTATAATAGATGATGGAGGACAGAGTATATCATTCATGAAGGGATGAGAACTGGCCAGGTTTGGGAACGGATGGACCAAGGAGAAGGAATAACCAACCATGTCATAACTCCGTCTATTTAAGTCGTCCAGATTTCGCATGCTAGAGTATTTTAAGAAATTTATGAAAGTTGCACTTATTTTTGTTTGAGAGTTATACATGTTTTGCAGACATATGTTGGTTTATTTCAATTTTGATATTTTGCTTAAAATAATTTTGGTGTTTTCCTGATTTCTATTTCACAAAAAAATAAATTTAGCCTGAACAGAAGATGATTGCTGACAAAGCCACTACTTTTTCAACAGAGTGAAAGGCATATAATGATACACTGCTCGAGGGAGAGAGGGGTTAAGTGGCTTATTTCTGCAGGTTTCCAAGGGGGTCCCAAATTTGAGAAGAAAGGGGCTCACGGTCAATCCCCAATTCATGGCTAAGAGGGCTCTGCCGACCAAACCTCTGGTTTTAAGGTACTCTCTGAAGGGCCACTTGGAGCAAACTGCTGGAGCTCAGTTGATTTGACTTAGAGTCTCCTGGTAGATCACACTTAGGTCTGAAATGAGCTTGTGGTTTTGGACCCCTCAAGCCTGTAGTCTGGTTCCCAGCAAGGCTCTTTTGTAGGATGGATGTTGGGCCGGGGCCAGCTCCAGGGTGCAGACCCAGACCTGGGGAGGTCCCAGCCTCCACTCCCTCGTACAAGTCTTCCCAGATCCTGGTCAGAGGGAAGCCTGCATTGTCTAGGCACCAACATGGGGGTGGGCAGCCACTTTAGAATAGATGAATGAGGTTCTGTGAGCACCAGACAAACAAGACCCCCAGATCTACTACAGAGGGACTAGAGGGATCCCACACACGTCCTCAAACTAATTCAAACCATCCACTTGATCAGACATTAATTGGATGTTAGTCTGGCATTTCCATGTTCTTTCCTGTTCAGTGCCCATGGAAATGTCCAGTAAAATGTCCAGTTAGAGTCAATTAATTACTATTATTACTATTAGCAGAAAGAGTGATCAAAGACCAAAAGGCCTGCTGCATCCCATGGAAATGAGTGAAAAGTGAACTACATCTCAGAACATCCTGACCGTTTTGAAAGAGCAAAGATGGGAGGAAAACATGAGCACCCAGACTGAAAATGACAATCAAAAGATTATCTGTAAAAATCACAAAAATCCAGCTGATGTCACAGGTCTCCTCTGCAGCAGGAGAGTCTGGAAGGTTCCAGGATCTGCAGTGCTTGCATTGGCCCTACAGGATTGTCAGGGGAAGAGATCAAGAGTGAAGGGGTTTGACCCCACCAGGTTGTACAAATAAAGGCAAGAGAAAGGCAATTTCTCGGACTCAGGGGCTCATCATATATACCACCCACTCACTCTTGTTGGAGAAATTCACTTGAAACCATGAACCCCAAACCGGGCAAGTCAGACACTGAGGAATTGACACAGGGCTCCATGGGGGGCCTTGCACCCAACACCTCAGGGCAGTCTGGAGAGCACCACACCTGACTGAACTCGCCACACCAACAATTCTTCAAGAAGAGGAAGGAGGGGCTATTCATTTTTCTAATGGGGTCTGGATGAAACTTGAAAGCAAACAATTGTGTAATGAATCATTATCATTCATTATGGGAATAACCCTGTAATTCAACACAAGAATTTCCTTTCCCTTAGGGCAATTTTACCCCTAGATTTATAAATTCAGCTAAATGCAAATGCATTAAAAATAAACTAACATTGAGATAGAAATATAAAAGACTGTTACAACATACTCCCAAACTGGATGCTTTGGGTGTCTGGGTAAATGGATGCCTTTTTTCGTATTACTGTTTTTTTTTTTTTTTTTATCATCTTTTCCAAACCTTTAACGATTGAGTTTCGCCTTGCAAATAAACATCTAAACCCAGGAAAGCAAGAACCACAGAAAGAGCATTTCCTTGGGTTTAGCCAAAGGCTTTCTCATCAAGGTTCCTATCGTGCAAGGTCCATCCTGAGATCTAAAGTCCAAAGTGTCACCCAACTGCTTTGTGCCACTGTCACCAACCCGGCCTTATACAAAACTCGACCAACAGGCTCCTCTCAGGTCCACTCCTTCCCCGACCTGCTGTAGACCCAGGCACCGAGGGCTAGTAGAACTAGACCACCAGGCCCGAGGTTGCCTGTGGTTCAAACACTGGTCATATCGAAAGAGACAAGAGAAAAACAAACTCTCAGGATCCAAGGGGGCAGCAGAAGGAGGAAACACAGAATGCCAAAGAAGACAAATACAGGATGTTAATGAGGGAGGGAGTCGGGGGGGGGGGCGCAGGTATCTGATTATAGACTAGTAATTTCATGTAAACAACATTCTTTTTTCTTTTTTTGTCCCCAACAAGTATTGGGTAAGCCCTCTGCGTATGGCTGTTATGTGTGTTAGGCACTGGGAGGAACAAGATGAATGAAACTCAAGCTTCACTCATGGGAAGATGGACGCAAGGTCAGGTGTATGGCTGGGCAGCGTCCATACTGATGCAGCTGGAGCAGGGCTCCTCAAAGAGGTGCTGCGGGAACGAGCAGTGTCCCAGTGCCCTGGGCCTCTGTCGGACATACAGCCCCCCGGCCCCACCCAGAAGTACAGAATAGAACCTTGGGGGTGAGGACCCAGCAAACTGGGTGTCGACAAGCCCTCCAGGAGATTCTGATGTTATATCCATGAATGCCATTCATACTGCAACCACTGTTGATTTACTTTGGAAAAATCTCCTAGCAGAAGTAAAGTGCCTGGCGGGATTCACCCACTTCTAACTGTGGCAAGAGCTACGTGAACTAGTAGCCGCGCTGGCCCGAAAAGGAACATCTCCCGATGAGGGCGGGGTAAGGGTGCGTCATCTCTATTCACGCCGCAAATAGCACAACGTTTCAGAGTGCCAATCTCTCACTAGAGAGTCCATAAAACTCCTGACTTTGTAATCGGCTGCCCGGCAGATAGATGGTTCTGAAAGAGGTACCGCCTATAAGCTCCCTCAGTGGCCTCCTGACCAGCAACACACTCCACACTTCTAGTGCCCAGTACATTCCCCTGCTGAGAAAAAGCACAGAAGGAGAGCCATAACTTTCCATTTGCACATTTCGGCGACTTTACAGAACACACAAGAACAATGCATGAAACTGGAAGTGACAGAACTTTAAATCTCGGGGGGTTTGGAAATACTGCATTTTGTGAAGCCTCACTCTGAGAATGATCTCTAACTCCGAGGCTGTTTGCAAGTAACAAACTTTAAAAAGTATAAATTGCCTCAAACCCAGAGAACCTTAGCTTACACCATTTTGCTAATTTAGGAGATTATTTCATATTTAAAGGATCACAACTGGACTGTAACCACCGTCCATATATATTGGCTTGATTACAGATTGTTGACATTAAGTGGCATTAAGATGACCTTTGAAATATTACTTTCCCTTCTATTAGAGGCTTTTGTGTAAGGTTCTGAAAATGAAAGGCTCATTAGACACCATTAAAATAGGATTTATTCCATATGTGTAACCAATAATCAAGTAGAATATTACTCCCTCCCCTAATCAGCTACTTAACATACTGAGAAGCATACTTGGTGTTCAAAGCAGTAATAACAGCAAACCTTTCCTGATCAGGTTTCTGTACCATCACTAACGTCAACAAAACCCAAACAGAAAGGAGTCTAGGACGCTGGACATGCTTTTTAAAAAATATACATTTGATTTCAAT